CGTGTATGTGTTCATGAGGCGGTTCCTCAAGGCAGCTCAATCAGATAAAAACGTCAGTCATACGAACCCACAGTAAATGAAGTAATATCATTTATTTTTATAAAAATAACTGTATTTATGTACTTGGTTTTCATGGAATTGAATAAACAGCTTGAGTTTCTGTCCTTCTTCTTCATTGAGCTATGCCTGGTGGAGTACGAAATGCTCAGGTTCCCCCCTTCTATGCTAGCCGCTGCCGCAATTTATACTGCTCGGTGCACTCTGTCCCGGTTCAAGAAATGGAGCCAGACCAGCGAGTGGTATACAAATTACTCAGAAGATGAACTCCTGTGAGTATTTCTTGCACTGATTGTCACGATTCATTGCAATTTTATGGTATACACAAAATAATAAAGTTATTTGGACCACATTGGCATACTTGTCAGACAATTGCGTATTGTTTACTTGTCAGAAATGTTTCATGTGTAATTTATGTATCGACAGAGAATGCTCGAGGATGATGGTTACTTTTCATCAGAAGGCTGAAACCGCGAAACTGACCGGAGTGCACAGGAAGTACAGCACACAGAAGTTTGGCTATGCAGCTAAAGCTCAACCAGCTGAGTTCCTCTTGGATCACTGATCGTGCTGACAGACAACTTCGATCACATTTAAGCGACCAAGATTCTTTCTTGAGTTGTCTCCGAGCAACAGAAGTTGTCCTGGTGTGGGGGGGGGGGGGGGGGGGGGGGGGGGGGGGGGGGGGGGGGGGGGGAGGGGTGTGTGTTTCTTAAAACATATTAGAGCGGGTTTCTTTTGTTGACAACTCCAACAGCTATCTTTTTAGTCTGCTCTCTGCAGATAATGTGAATGTTTTTTTTTTCTTCCCCGTAGTTTTTGATTCGTTTACGCCTTGAAGAACATATACTATCTTTTAGTCTGCTCTCTGCGGATATTGTGAATGTTTTCTGAAAAAACTGCTACAACAACAACAAAGCCTTTTCCCACTAAGTGGGGTCGGCTATATGAATCCTAGAACGCCATTGCGCTCGGTTTTGTGTCATGTCCTCCGTTAGATCCAAGTAATCAAGTCTTTTCTTAGGGTCTCTTCCAAAGTTTTCCTAGGTCTTCCTCTACCCCTTCGGCCCTGAACTTCTGTCCCGTAGTCACATTTTCGAACCGGAGCGTCAGTAGGCCTTCTTTGCACATGTCCAAACCACCGGAACCGATTTTCTCTCATATTTCCTTCAATTTTGGCTACTCCTACTTTACCTTGGATATCCTCATTCCCAATCTTATCCTTTCTCGTGTGCCCATACATCCCACGAAGCATCCTCATCTCCGCTACACCCATTTTGTGTACGTGTTGATGCTTCACCGTCCAACATTCTGTGCCATACAACATCGTTGGCCTTATTGCCGTCCTATAAAATTTTCCCTTGAGCTTCAGTGGTCTACGACGATCACACAACACGCCGGATACACTCTTACACTTCATCCATCTAGCTTGTATTCTATGGTTGAGATCTCCATCTAATTCTCCGTTCTCTTGCAAGATAGATCCTAGGTAGCGAAAACGGTCACTTTTTGTGATCTTCGCTAGATTGCTCCGGTCATTAGTGTGGATAAGTATATAAATGGATAGAGATAGGAAAGCAAACACAAGATGTACGTGGTTCACCCAGATTGGCTACGTCCACGGAATAGAGGAGTTCTCATTAATTGTGAAGGGTTTACACAAGTACATAGGTTCAAGCTCTCCTTTAGGGAGTACAAGTGAATGATTTAGTACAAATGACGTTAGGAAATATTGTGGGAGAATGATCTCGTAACCACGAAACTTCTAAGTACCGGAGTGTGGTATCGGCTTGACTTTCCTTATCTGTCTCATAGGTAGATGTGGAATCTTCTCTGGAAGTACTCTTCCTCCATCCAGGGGTGGTATCTGTAACTTGTGGAGATGCACAAGGTAATGTATCAATGCCACTTGAAGCTTACTTGTAGTTTCAGGCTTGGTCCTGCCACAATTAAAAACTGTTGCCACAATGCATTCTGAAAATCAAACCTAGTTACTGAGAGAAACCTGTGACGTTCGGGTGAGGGTGGCACCAAGAATTGCATTTGAATTGAATTTATTGACATTCAAATCCAAAATATTTATGTTACAATTAATCGAATGCATTCTGAAAATCAAACCTAGTTACTGAGAGAAACCTGTGACGTTCGGGTGAGGGTGGCACCAAGAATTGCATTTGAATTGAATTTATTGACATTCAAATCCAAAATATTTATGTTACAATTAATCGAATGCATTCCAAAAATCCTAGGCTGCAATTCCTATCCAATCTTATGTTAGAATTCTGGCCAAAATTTCATTTGCTGTGATGGATTTGAATGATTGTTGATTTGAGTCAACTAATCTTTTGTCCAAAGTTATAAAACGTTGTATTTGCCGCGCTCTTATTTCTCTGTCTTGAAGTTTTGTCTCATGTGATTTTTTTTCAATTTTGTTTTTTTTTACTGAGATCCACATCATGAGCGTGCAACGTTTAGATTGCAAATATTTTTGGAGGACTTTGTATTCTACATTTAGGACTAAAGATGTTAGTGCATCTTTTCGATGTTTAGCATCCCATGATACTGTTTTCAAGTATCGTGTTTTTTAAGATGCAACTTTTGGTCTTGATAATTGGGATTTTTTTACAATCTTATGATGTTATATGTCTCAGCTCATCCCTATTACTCATCCTTTGTGTCCCATATTATCCCATTTTGTCAACTGAATTGCAGAAACGTTAGTTTAGCTAACGTGGAAGGGGTTATTTCATTAGTTTTTCTAAAAATTTACCGTTGAGATTTTGAAACAGTGAACTGCAAATAAAAACACGGTGCGAAACGCTGCGTTCCAAGAGGATTTCAGAGAAGGGGTTCAAGGGAATGGATAAAAGAGAGAACTCAAACGACTAAGTGAGCTTCTCACAGAGTAGAGAGTAGAGAGAAAATGGAAAACAAGTCGACAATTCTGAGAGAGCAGTTCGTGCGAGTTGGCTCGGCCAATACCGGAAGCATCACAGCGCCTCGGCTCAAGGTCCTTCTTCTTCTTCGTCTTCATCTTCATTCTCTTGGCCCTAAACTTCTCCAAATCCCCAATTTTGTTTTGTTATATTTAAATGGGTTTCTGTAGAAGTTTCAAATTCAGTGCTTAGTTGAAATGGGGTAGGTTGGATATGAAATTTTATTGCCATCTTCTTCTTTCTATTCCCTTAAACTTCCCAAAACTTCCAATTTTATTTGTTATATGTAATTTTTTTAATGGGATTTCTCAGAACTTCAAGTTTCAATGACTATTTGAAAAGGCACAAAAGGAGTATTTTGTATGTGAAAAGTTTGTTGCTTTTTTATGATGTCTTCTTGGTTGATTGACAGCACGCAAGCACGCACGGTGGCGTCGATGACAGCTCCTCCCTCTTCAAATTTCATCTATTGTGCATGTAGAACTCGTTGTGCTGCTGTCTAAGTCTATTCGGTCGAAGCCATTGACAGCGACCATGGGTAAGAAAAAGACCATTATAATCGTTTTGCACCAATACCTGCGAAACCCAATTCCTGCCTGATCTCTTGTACGGTAGCCAAACTAACTGTGTCAACGACAACGGAGATTAGTCATGCTTCCTAGAGAATCTACTGAACTTGCCCTTTCGTCTTCTCTGAAAATTGGTTTCATATCATATTAGTAGCATGAGCCTCTTCCTATGAGTAAGATGGGCTTTTTCTATCCAAGAACGAACAGGGAAACAGCATTAATGTATTCCTTCTTCAATCATTGTTGCCCAAGCCAAGGAGCTTGCTATCTCATCCCATGGTTGGTTTTTTTTGAAATAAATATTTACATATATATTATACATACATATTTATGTATACATATTACAGAAAATAAAATTTAAAGAACTTAAAGATATTTAAAAGGTTATAATTGGAATTATGGTGGGTGAAAAAAGAGTGATGTTATTATTTACCTTTTTATAGTGGGTGAGAAGATAAGACAATAGGGTGGGTTTAGTACTCAAGATTCTAAATTTTTATGTTTATGAATCCAAACAAGGTAATTGGTGCATATCAATTTATAAATTATGACTTTTACCCAAATTCTAAATTTATTTTCTTCATCCAAACATGGTGTTAGTTTTCACTGTATCGAAATTGCAAGGGTCCCTATTTGTAATCGTTGGATTAAATTTTAAAGCCCGGATCTCCGAATTACTAGGATTTGGTGGGAGAGATCTGGAGGGGATCTCTTCCCATTAAATGCAACCAAAGCAAAACCAGAAAGAATACAAAAATAGAGAGAGCGGGGTCGGGAACTATGGGGAAAAAAATGGTGAAGACTCACAAAATTAACGAGACTTGTCAAAAGAACTGAACCCCTCACATGCATTGAGACAAACATCAAGCCGGATAGATGACACACGGTATAGCATTATTTATTGGTTATTACATTGCAGCTCAATCCACTACACTACCTCCTCAGAAGCTCCCTTGAAGCCGAGATGCTCTGTTCTCCAGACTCCAGTGCTCACCAGATAGCTTTTTCCTTTCGAAAAAACCAGAAGAAACCTATCAAATGAAAAACCCATATAACTCTGTTTTTTTCGAGATTTTCTTTCTATGTGAAACCTCATAATTAAACCGGCTTTTCTTCTTCGTTATTGATTTGGATGGTGATAGTGGTTTAATTGGGTACCATATAGATGGTGGTGGGGTGGCGTCGATTGGGTTTCGTTGATTGGTGAGTGGGATGACAGTGGTGGTGGTGGGTCTAACAGTGGCGGCGATGTACTTGATGGTTGAGGCTCCTACGGTGGTGGTGGTATTCTCGGTGACTATTCGCCAAAGAAGTTGCTAGCTTTAGCAATTTTTAGTTAACAATGGTGTTTTAAGTACTTTTATGTCAAAATATGGTTAGAATTATAAAATTAAAAAAATAAAAAAAAAACACATAATAATTGGCTAAAATTCAATTCATGATCCTAATTTTAGCTAGTTTTCCCAATATCCCAAACTATAGACTTGACATAGTGTTTGTGGAACAGGACTTGGCTGCTGAAAAATCAGTTGCAGCTCTTGCTGCAAGCAAATCACAAGTTGATACGTGTTCAAGTAATTGATTTTTTAATCACAGATTGGACATGTGTCTACTTGTGATTTACTAGCAGCAAGAGCTGCTGCTGATTTTTTCAGCAGCCAAGTTTTGTTCGTGTCTGTGCGGGTTGTTGCCTTCCTTTCTGCTGCAGGAATTCACATTCCCGGCGAGTGGATGCAGGTGTACAGGTCCAAGTAGGATATATGAGGCCTGGGGAAAATGGCGGACCAACCGCACTGCCTAAAAAGAAACGCTCCAAGAATGGAGCTGTTTCAATTGGAGAAGCAAATGGTCTGGTGGGTTTCGTGGTCTTCATCGTCGTCAATAGTTGGAAGCTTTCTCCAATTAGATTTCCATTTCTTGTTTTTCTTTTCTTTTTTCATTTTTTGTTTTTGTTTTTGTTTTCTTCAAACTTGACCAATTAAATTAAGTAGTATAATAAAAGATTTGGTCTTACATTCTGTACCCTAAAGTATATTTTAGTTTCCTCAAATATCTTAATGGCTTTCAAAAAATAAAATAAAAAATTCAATGTTTGGAGGAAAAAAAAAAGAAGGTATCTTAAAAATATGCAGGCTATTGTAAAAATCATATATACACAAAAAGCATGAGTTTTTACCGTAAAATAACGATCAAGAAGTTCACGAACATTTCATTTCATAGAAATAGAAATACTATGACTTAAAATCATTTTTAAATTTCATTTTATTTTTTATTTTTTTGTTTTTGATTAAAAAGTGTGATTAGCTTTTAACATTCTAAAAAAGAAAAATTCAGTTATGAAAAATGGGACAATGATGGGGCAGTTTATTCTAACATGGGCATAATTTTTTATTTTTTAACGTAGTATATAATTACTGTTTTGTCCTCATATTGTAAATAGTGTGTTAAAAGTAAGGGTAAAAGAAGAAAAACATGAATATGATTGTCATTTTGAGAAAGAGGTTGATGATTAGGCTAGCAATAATGTGATTCAGTTTCTTTATTTTTAAACACGTATAAAACATCTTAAGAAGCGCGTAATGCCGGTTATAAAAAAGGTCTTTCGCACGCGGATAATAATGTGATTAAATTAGTTATCAAATGATTGTTTTTTTTTTTAACAAACTATATTATCTACACTAAGGGGGAGAGGATGTGCTTAGCCTCACAATGGGTTAGCAATGATGTGATTCAATCAGTTGTTTATTAAATATTATTTTCTCTATTTTTAAATACGTTCAAAACATCTTAAAAGGCGTGTAATGTCTGTTATAAAAAAGATATTTCGCAAGAGGATAATAATGTGATTAAATTAGTTGTCAAATGATTGTTTTTATTTTATTTTTAACAAACGGTATTATCTGCACTAAAAGGGCAGAGGGTGGGCTTAGCCTCACAATGGGCTAGCAATAATGTGATTCAATTAGTTGTTTATTAAATATTATTTTTTCTATTCTTAATGTAAATTATATAGAGATCGATTTTATTATGTGGATTCAGCTACTTTAGTTGGTTTATGAGGGTTTCTTCTAGCATGATCTAAGATTATTCATTTATTTCAAATATTTGACTTTTCTTTTGTCAATTTATGCATATAAATATATTTAAAACGTGTAAGTTGCGCGTAGTACGCGGTGATTCAAAAAAGGCCTTCTGCACGTGTGAAAGACCTTTTTTATAATCGGCATTACACGACTCTTAAGATGTTTTGAACATGTTTACAAATAGAGAAATTGAATCACATTATTGTTAGCCTATCGTGAGGTACTAATTAAAAAAAATTACAAGAAAAAAATAATTGTTAAAAAAAATATTATTAAAATGACAAAAATACCCCTACCTTATTTGATGCATTATTTTGAAATGTCTTTGAAGTTTTTTGTCTTGGGAGCATTATTGTTCAAATATTTTTGTTGAAACTTGGTGACATCAAAAGTACTATTCACGTTTCGTGTTGATTATATATATATATATAGAGAGAGAGAGATAACAGTCACTTACATTGTGTCTGTGCTGTGCCTGTCCGGGTTGTTGCCTTCCTCGTTGCTGAAGTAATTCTTATTCCCTCCAAGTGGATGCAGTGTATAGGTCCAAGTAGCCCTGGGAAAAATGGCGGACCATCCACACTGCCTAAAAAGAAGCGCTCCAAGGCTTGAGCTGTTTCAACTGGAGAAGGAGATGCACGGGTGGGTTTCGTAGGTCTACGTTTTGATCGTCCTCAGGCTTCCAACTATTCTTCTCCAATTAGATTTCCATTTCTTGTTTTTCTTTTCTTTTTTCATTTTCTTTTTTTTTTAGGTGTTCTTGGGTGGTGGTCGGGGTGGGGGTGGGCGGGACTCTGTTTCTTGGCATTCTTCTTTTTCTTTTTCTTTTTTTCTTTTTTTTTCTTTCTCTATTTTTTTCGTTCTTCCTTTCTTCTTTTTATGTGTTGTGTGTGATGGTGATGGTGGGGGCAGGGCAGGGCGGGGCGGGGCTGGGTTCTGTTTGTTGGACATTCTCGTCTAGTGCCACTGTTTCTTGGATAATAGCAATGGATATAAAAATCATTCCATACAGAAGTAGGTTGTGCCAAATAAGACCTTGAAGGGATTCGATAAAATTGGCCAGACCAAGGAGGCCCTTGAAAGTGTTTGTACAAAATGTGTATCTTGTGCTGACATACATGTTGTTGCCACTGGAGATGGCATTGTTCTGGTATGTTTTACTCCATCTTCTCAGTCTTCTTGACAGGTTCTGTGCTGTTTTCGTTTTCATTGTTTGATTTCCAAGTAGTTTATTTGATCTTCGGCGTTTTTCAATTGTTGGTAAATTCAACATACACATTCAGTTCCGCAATTTTTAATTTGACAATTAAGGTACATATAGAATATTTTATCGCTTTTAGCTATTTTGATTTTCATTGGTTGGTCAATACTTGGCCAAGTATGCATGTAAGTACTAAATCAGTCCTTCAGGAAAACTTTCCCGTTTCTTTATCTTCGGTACTTTCAGGTTTTGGAAAACTCAGCATAAGACTGTGCGTAAGGTTTTAGGACTTTCTTCATTTTGCCTGTAGATCCTCAGTATTTAAGTGGAAAACCTACATAGCGCGTCCAGATTTATTTGATTGCTTGCTTGTTTCGGTATTCCACTGCTGCAGCTTTAGCTGTCTTCTTCTTTGACGCTGACGTTTTTGTCATATCCGAAATGGTAGGCTGATGGCCCCCTTTATCCGCTTTTCACTGGTAGAAGGGATAGCACCAGGTCCTACCATGATGAAGCAATGGCTGAGATTCTGAAACCCGATGATGAGATCACTCTGACAATTGATCTGTTCTCACTGAGTGGATTTAAGGACGAGAAACTGTCAAGTCTTCCAGGAATGTACACACAAGCTCCGCCTTTTTCTTACCAAGTCTATGTAATAATCACGACGTTAATGAAAGCTACTATGTATGTCTTTTTAGTGTCGTTGTCATATAACTCGTGTTGAGTTCATTGAATTTACAAACTATCATTGTTGCTGACTGCTATTGCGTTAGATTTATACGCAGTTGTGTTACATACAAAAAAGTAGTATATATAACTCTGACTTTTCACACTGTCATCTATTCTCAATGAGTTTCCATTTCCATTTTCTCTCTATGTAGCTGCCAAACTTGGGCTGCAGTTTTTGACATCAGAAATGAGGGCAATTTCGTGGACTGGCTTATTGAGGTAACATATTCCGACTTTGGTTGGAAACCTGTGATGTGAATGAATTGTCAATAGGTTTGATTGATTGTGTTTCTGATTACTGCTAGTCTGAGCTTATATGTGGATGAGACATATTCCTTACCTGTCAATCTTACAGGCAGCTTCTTAGAGCAACATCGAAGCTTCAATTGGTTGGCGGGACAGCTGTGTTACTAACTAGCATGCAATTGTGAGGAGATTATCTTCTCACGTCAGATAAGGGAAGATGTCCTTTACATGCAGAAATCTAGTTCCCCTCTTCCTCTCCCCTTCGTTGCATTAGTTATAATGTTATAATGAGGAGACTTCTCAAGGCAGCTCAATCATGGAAAAAGGTCAGTAGTCAGAACCCACTGTACGAAGCACGGTAAGATTTCACTTAGTATTTCTCATAGGTTGTATTAATAATGTACTTGGTACTCAGGGAAGTGAACCGAATCGGCTTGAGCTTCTGTCCTTCCTCATTTAGCCATGCCCGTCGGGCAGCAAATTTTTAATAAACTGCTTAGTGTATGTAGTCTGTCCCAATTCGAGCTGGGGAGCAAGACCAACAAGCAAATTACTCCCGAAGAGATGCGCTCCTGTGAGTATTTACTTATTTCTTTAACAGAAGTTTTTATGGTTTTTTCATGAACTAGTAAACTAAACTATTTGGACGGCATACCCCATGTCACAGGCTGCATATGAAATCTATTTACCAATTGTGAATGCTCAAGGGTGATGGCTACCTTGAATCAGAAGGCTCAAACTGGAAAAGACTTACTGGAGTATGCAGCAAGTCACTGTACATTGAATTTCGCCTATGCAACTGAATGCCTCCCTCATCTCTCACAGAAGCGCTGCCTGCGGGGTTTCCTTTTTCTTCTGTTGTTAATGTGCATTTGAACCTCAGATTGTGACTTAACATACAAACGATGAATTTTATACATTCTAGTTGTTCTTTTTTCGTTCTTAAAGATCAGCGTTCTTTGTCGACACATCTGGAAGATGTTGAGTTCATTCAATTTAAACACTGTCATTGTTGCTCTTCTATATGCCCTGAGTTTTGCTCAAAAGTCCTATAGCTTAGGCTTAACTGTTTAAGTGTTGAAGATTTCATCATTTGTATACTGGTTGATATTTCATTGGATAAATCAATCTACATGCCTGCCTTGGTGTCTTTCCAATTTTTTAAACTCTATAGTCGATTTAAAATCATGGTGCCGTGCTCATATCTGTTAGAATCGACCATGTAATTTTGGTTAATAATACAGATAATCGAGTTTTTGGATCGAAATTCGAGCTTAAAGCAGTAGATTGTGGTCCTGTGGTTCTTTCTGTAACCCCCACGGCGATTTTGGAATGGGCTTGAAGTCCACACATTGCGTGAACCTCAAACATACCTGATGACCAATCTGGAACTCCCCACACATAACATTTTCAAGTTATTTGCTTTATGTGCTTCCATATGTCATTGCAATGTTGTATTCGTTTTGTGTTTTGCATATGTATAAGGGTGTATTCCCCTATGGTTGTTATGAATACATATTGAGTGAACTCTCATTAGCCCTTCTATTAGGTTGTTTCTTCGCCAATTAACACAACTCCCAACCGGTTGGAATGTACTGATGAAATGGAGTGGAATTGAAAATCAACACCATCGTCACATAGCAAATAAACATCAGAATTAGACCAAAAATCTAGGGCAACAAAGTAAGGGCTAAGACAATGACCAAACGATGGATGAGTCGATAGCTAAGAGATGGATTCACGTGCGTGTTGCAACATTGTTACAGAGGTGGCATTGTTGGTGGTGTTGCAACGTTTTCTTTACATTTGTAAGAGGCCCCTCCAAATCCGAAATCTTGGCTCCGCCACTGCATCGTAGCCATGAAAACATAATCATAATAAACTAACCTCCAATGACTTAATCATCCCAAATTCCATCCTTTGCTTGTTATCTAGTCATTGTCTCGGTCGCCAATTTTCCCGTTACCATTCATGTAGTTTTATTATTCCCATTGCCATAACGTAACCTACGAGTATAATTCCATAAAAGTACTCCTCCACTCCCATAAGCATCGACATAACATTATTATAAACATTGCACACGTAAATAAAAAACAACATGACATATAAGCTAGAAATTCAACAACATATATACAAAAAGGAAATATTACCATAATAATTTTGTAACACAACAAAATGAATGTCCAAAAAAAGGCAAAATACAACTAAGAAGTATTACCATAAATATTCCTCCAATCCCTTTACCATAAACTTGGACCATACCAACTCAAGCGACACCGTGTTCCGATGTTGCTTTAAGCCTCAACACCCGGGAATGATCGCTCAATTTTTTCACCATCTAAGTAGAAGATGCCGATCTCACGAGATTTAATCGGCTAGCTAGATTAGAAAGGAGGTAAATTGATGAACACGTCAAAAAACACAAAAAGGGAAGAATTTTTTGGTGAACGACTTCCGCGTCCAAAACAACGGGTAAACTTTACCGTCCGCCAGAAAACTCTCCATTTTCTTGGTCGATTTTCAATTGAATAGATCCAGATTTCTAAAGATGTTAAAGAGTCTATCCTGGTATATTAATGTTTTCGAGCCAAATCCTTTTCGTCCAATACGTATGTTTCATATACTTTTCTACTTTTCAATAAGAATATGCAAGCAAAGAAGAAAAGTAGAGCACAAATGGATAACAAGGACGGAAAGAAGCAAGATAAAGTATAAACTACACCAACATTTCTGCTACTCCTACTCTCCTGCATGTATCGTATTACAAGTGAAAGTTCTTATCAATAACCTTTTCTAAATGCCAAATTCATATGAAGATAATTTACATCCATGAGGATAATGGTGGGATGCAGTACAACAGAGGAATTGAATTCCAGAGAGTCCAGCGTAATTGCTGCATTTCATATTCTGCAATTGGCAGCTGGACAAGAAAATAATAACTTCATTATATTAGAAGCATGTCAATAAACGATGAATCGTAGAGAAAATTAGCATATGGAGTTACAGAGTCCTCCTATCCTTCTAACCATAATTCAAAAAGTGATCTACAGATGCGGCCTGAAGAAAAGATACTCATTAAGAACCCAAGAACTGTAAAACAAGATGAACAAAAGGGGAACCGTCTGACAGATGGATGTGGGCATTATATTTTGATTTTTTCCCCAGTCAACCAACCTAAACCTTTTCTAGTTAATTATCAACACATTGATGGGGTTCAAGATGTAGTAAACAATAAATTCCTGTAATATTTATTAAGGCACTCACTGCAGTAGACAAACTGGTTGAGATCCAGAGTCACTCTGCCTTGCTTGGCTGTATCAAATGAATTAAACAGATTACTGCAACAAAAAACGGCAAACAACACCATTAGTCTTCAAGATAGCTTCTTATAAAATATTCAAGATTGGTATTTGTCTAACTTAATTAGACACAACACCATTAGTCTTCGAGATAGCTTCTTATAAAATATTCAAGATTGGTATTTGTCTAACTTAATTAGACACAAAACCTCAAGTTTTGATAGTCAAAGATCTCACAGCCGAACCTGGCATAGACGTGCTTGTGTGCGCGTGTAAAGATAATTTGTCTATGCTGCTAACTTGGGAAATATGATAAGACTCATTAAATCTGAACTAAAATTTTAAAAGACCTTTTGTGAATTGAAATGCAACCTACCGAGCAGACTGCAAAAATATACAAAGAGATATGAAGTCATCTAGTCTGAACATTCCTTTCTTCTTTTGATCAAAGCTCTGCACAATTAATAGGAAAATGAACGAGATATCAAACGATCTCAAGCCTTGAATAAAGAATTTTGATTTCTCTTTTTGATTTATTTATTTATTTATTTTTGGGGGGGGGGGGGTGGCGGGAAAATTTATCACAGCAAATCAGTGCACAACCAAAATGATTACATTAGATCCGTGTGTACGGAAACAAATCGTACATCAACTAAACAAGAAGCACCACATCTACTTTCTTGTTTCTTTTTAGAAAAAGTTGAATATCCATGGAGGTGAAAGAAAACAATGCTGTGGACCAAATTTCACAAGAAATGTTGAGATTCTCAATTTTCATCTTCAAAATCAAATTAGATGATATACCTCACAGACTGTGTAGAAAGCAGGAGTGTCCAGCAAGAAGCCGATTTTCACCAATGCCTGTCGCAATGGTTCAGCAATTGAGATTTCAGAAAAGAAATAGCATATAAGAGAGAGGTCAGGGAGGAACAGCCTTCCTATTACAGTACTATCAAACGATATATAGCCTTCAAGTTCCTGACACATTTATTACTAAAGATCCACCAGCAATGTATCTAAACACACAAACTTTTTGTTTTTAATCCAAGACAGAGAAATTCTATATTACCTCATTCACATCATCAGTAACAAGATAGCCACGTCCCCTGTAAAAACAAAACCAACAATTAGACAGTTGCTAAATGCTTACAGGTGCACGCCAACCAATCACCCTCATCTCAAACATTTGCAACTAAATGGAGAATACAGATAATATGCACAAATGAATACATTAGTTGTAAACTTGTAGGCATGGTGGTATGTATATTATGCACGATGGGCTCATGAAGGCCAGTGCATTGCATTGCCAAAAAGAATAGGCTGAAACATAAACTTTATAAAGGGCTCTAATTTCATAACAAGTCCACATTTTGCAAAAGATCGTCAAGTGACGACTTTGTTTGCATGGGGAAAAAAATTAACGGCCTAATTTCAATGATACACATTAAAGTGCACCAATTATAAAGAAAACATAAACTGCTAACCACGTCTTAAAGCAGCCCACTTAATTATTAACAGATAAGATGAATCTTACGCTATTTGTTGCTTCATACTAACACGGTTGAATCTATCAAATATACCTTTACTTAGGTTTATACGAAGAAGCTGCAACTCACAAATCACAACAGCATACTTACTAAAGTGGCCAAAACAAATGCTTAAATATATTAGAATTGGCATTGAATCACCTCTCACGGTCCGAGAAGGCTTGTTGAACCTGCAAAGCAGACAAGTTCCCAGGAACATTACATATAAGTTTTATAAATACTCATCACGCATCGGCATCCTCAAATTGAGGACACAATAAAACAGAGTAAATACATCATACAACAAAAAATTCAAGTTGCATTTGCATGGTCACAGTTTTCACCTTGAGGAGGAACTTGTTAAGCGCAAGAAACTCTGTGAGAGAAAAATCGAACCAAAATCAGCGAACCCATGTTGCAGATTCATCGAAATTTCAGTATTAAGCATAAAAATCATAAAAAAATTACGAAATTTTGAAACAATTTAAGCATATATACCTTCAAAGCTCATAGTCCCATTCCTATCAAAATCATACATCCTGCAAAAAGGCCACATCTTTATCAATTTCTGCAACTAAATCAACAACCCCACATACAAATCCACGATATCGATGCGTAATTTATAACTATTTGGACCTGATCATTTGCTGGACAACTGAGAGAGGGAAGTCGAGGTTTCCAACAGCTAGAGCGCTCTGATCACCATAGAAACGTCGTCGTTAGTAAGAGAGAAAACGAAAATTGGGTATTTTAGGGAAGATGAGGGCGAAGGGATTGGAGAAGACGACCTTGAGCTGAGGCGCTGTGATGTTTCCGGTATTGGCCGCGTCAACTCGCGAGAACCACTCTCTCAGAGTCGACGAGTTCTCCATATTTTTTTTTTCTCCGTGAGTGACTAGAACAAACTCGGCTTTTCTCTCTTTATTCAATCTTTTTTTCTTTAAAATCGTCTGGAAACGCAGCGTTGCGCGCCGCCCTCACCTAGATTTATAGTTCACGGTTTATTTTATTTTTTAACGAATAATAAATTTGTTAGATTTTTTTTAACAAACGATATCATCTACACTAAACGGATAGAGGATGAGCTTAGCCTCACAATACGTTAGCAATAATGTGGTTTAAATTCGTCTTTGGTGAGAATTGAACACTTACAAGTGAAGAAGAATACTATTAGATCTTAGTACTAAATGGCTATATTAGATAAATTTATTAGATTAGATGTTAGATTATGGAGCCAACGTGGTTCAAACCCACACCATGATGCAAGGACAACCCTCCTCTTCATCACTGTAGTAGAGGCTCACCTGCTTTATCGTTTACGATTTCAAGTTTCTGTTCATCTGGAAACGGAATCACATTGCACTAGAAGATTTTATAACTACATCAATTTATGATGTTTTTTTACCAAATGATATTATCTATACTAAGATGGTGGGTGTGACGAACCGTCCCGAATTATAATGTATTTTATCCCAAATAGTGTGAAAATGTTGATTTTACCCTCAAGCGTTGGATTGTGAAAGTATATATGGGCTAAGAAAAATGGACCAATTGCATCATTTCCTACTTCTTTGGACCCAATTGAAATTTGGGGTTGTTTTGGATGATTCTTAGCCTATAATTGGTGGCCCAATTAGAGTTTAAGGATTGTATATGGGTGCCCAATTTGGATCAAAACACACACTTACCGTCACACGTGTTCACCTTCATGTACTATCTCTCTCTCGTTCTCGAACACTCTCTCTCTCTGTACACCTAAGACCAGCCACAAACCCCTTCAAATTGTCGCAAATGGAACTAGTAGACGTTATTTCTGAGTTCCTTGCAAGCTCAGGAGTTGAATTATACCCTTAGTTTGGAGGAAGGACCTTGGAAACTCAAGATACTCGAGCTCTGACAAGGGGTGCAAATTGCTCTGTGGTGATCGCTAGTGTTTCGTGGAGTTTTAAAGTTCTAGGAGGCCTTAAATCTACTTCACGAAGCTTATAGAGGAATTTTGGAAGGTTTTGGACATCAAGACACTTGAGTTCATCGAGTTGCAGACTTTGCCAGTTTTCACGAAATTTTTTTGGCCAATTTCCATTGGTGTTAGGACTCCAAAGTGGTAAGATCATGTTCTCCTAGTTGAACGCTTCATTTTGGTACAAATTTCATGAATTTTGGTGTTGAAATGGAAGAGATATTGAAGTTTTTCAGCTTTCCAGTTTTCAGCGAGTGCAGCAGTGGCCGGCTCTAGACTCTAGCAAACTAACGAGGGAGAAGGAGAATATTCCGTCAATCTTGACGGAATATGCTAACGGCGTTAGGTAACACCGTTAGTTTTTAGACGGAATATTCCCTAACACCGTTAGGGAATCCATCAGTGTGCCAGGCACGTGCCTGTGCTTGGGCGGCGCGTGAGGGTGCGTGGGAACTTAGAAAATTTTTCTAAAAATATGGGGATGTTCATGGGGTTGAGTAAGCCACGATGGTATATTCAAATACCCCAATTGAGTAATGTATGAGAAGATATTACATAGTTTTGGTTATGTGCTTAAAATACGTTAAAATGGTTGTTTCACGTATAGGTGAGATGTTTCTTGAGGACGAGCGCAGTCAGGCGAGGCTCGAGGGTTACGACCCTGCCACGTACCAATGAGTGGGCTTTTGGTTTTCAATATATATATACTTGGTATTTTTTTTCCCAAAAAACTTATTTAAATGGTTTTATGTTTCGAATGTCATGCCAAATGTTTTATAGTTAGAATATGCATTTAGTAGTCGCATATATTATTGTTGGTGTTGCGGACTCTTAGGTAAGTTCCAGATGAGTTTATAGATTGTGGATGTGAGTTACATGATTATGATTACATTGATGCATTTAGAGCTCATAAATCTGCACCCCGATGTTAGTGCTCCCGCTCGTGGCCAGGACACAGTCACTCAAGTGATGTTCACCTCCCGCACCGCACGCTCACCTTGGATCCAAGTTTGGTGCACAATCCTGTCATACAGACCATTTTAGGTGGTTCCGACTTATAGGTGACCCGCGATTATTCGCATAGTCTTCACGTGATCGTAGCACTTGAGCGTATTTATTTACACCCAGTCTTGTTGTACAGACCACTTTGGTTCCGACTCGTGTGCAAGCATATTTGATGAGCTATATATTCAGCCGTACAAGCCACCATAGGTGGATCCGGTTGACATATTACTTTTCATTGATTTACTTTACCTGATTTACTTATTTCACTATGTTGAGATATTTGGCATGGTATACATGTGGATTTGGCTATTTCAAGTGTGGTTTTGATATAGATAAGTATTCTATTTTATGGGAAATTATACAAGTTTTAAGGTGATGGGTTATTACTTTGCTAAGTGAAATGGTTTTGAAAAACTTTGCTTTTCCCCACTCACAGTTTTTGTTTTGCGACCCTCTTGGTTCTAGGTAGAAGCGTTCTTGTTGGGGGCTTGCAAGGAGACTACGGCGGTTTTGACAAACGGTATTTAATGTAGGACTATCTCTCTGGTATTGTATAATTAGTATTTGTCCTGCTGGACTGCACTTAGGCTATCTATGCTTTGATTATGTGTAATCACACTTAAATCTCGTCTCTAGCACCTATATTTTTGTGTCTAGTGTAAATTAGTTAGCTTGGTTTTTATTTTCTCTCATTTTTATATTATTATCACTTCCGCACTATGCACATGGCTATGTCACCCTCACGTGACGGCCAACACACCTTGATTTAGGTCGGGTGTGTCAGTGGGGGAGTGCGCTAAACTTTACAATGAGCTAGCAATAATGTGGTGTATCGATATATGTTATTTGTCTAATGAATTATTTGAATCATTTATTTGTACCTTTATTTGTATCATCTCTCTAATATAGAGATGAGGGTAGTGAGGCCCACGAATACATGAGATAATACAAATAGACAGTAAAAATAACATTTTATTCTTGAAAAATTAGATGAAATCCAAAAAAACCATTAATGTGAGATAGAAATCGATCAAAATAAAAGTTCAAACATAAATGTGCGGAAACACTCTGGAATTGTTCGCGTATCTTCAATTTAAAGTTTATAGAAAAAAAAACTATTTATTAAGGTTTTACAAATCATCATAAACTTTGGGTTTGAATCCCATTCCCAACATTTTTCTTTTGCAAACGAAAATGATTACAACTTAAAAGTGGGACAAAGATGAAATGGGATTTTAAACCATATTTCAAAATGCATATATCATTTATTTTTTTATTGTGATTATTTTTTGCCGATTCCAAATCCGAAACGTGACAATTTTTATAAATTATGAATAAATAGATTTGAATTCCGAAAGCATAACGATCGAATTGATCGAAAAAAAAGTTGGGGGTAATTAGATCAAGGTACAAAACCCTAAACTAAAGGAAACAAAACTTTACTCTTAAGTATAAGCGAAACATGAAAAAAACTTAGTTGATGTTATAAATAGTCAAAAGTGAGAGATATAACATTTGTTAGAGATAGAAGCGGAATAGATGCAATGTATCATACTGTTTATTTTCGTTACTATATCACAAAAGGTATGCAAGTAAAGAGAGGAGGAAGTGATATTGGTATTATTACTTTTACTTTTTTCTTTGTATGTTATAATGAGATTACTAACATACCTTTATTTATAGGGTTTTGAGCTCGCAGCATCTTACATACATAAATAAAATTGATACTTTGGATGTGGTCTTTAATCCTTAATATTCTTTGACTAAAATCTTAATGGTGTTCAAAGTTTGATCAAAGTCCCTTGACTTTGTACACTTCATTATATTACAATTAATATTTATATTTTTATAGTTTTGACATTAATTGTTTGATATTTTATGAGATTTATAATATTATAAATTTAAAATCCCTCATTATAATACTATTAGAAACGGTTACAATAAAAAAAAAAATCAATCATTTTGATTGAATAAATGGATAAAAACTATGAAAAAATACGAAATAATAAATGGCAAAAGAATGTATCCATAGTGTTAAAAAATGGTACATTTCACATATAACAAAGTGGTACATTAATAAAGAAGAATGAGTACATTATAAATAAATTAGGGTACAAATTAAAGATTAAAAAAATATGAGTACAAATGAATTTTTAAAAAATATAGGCGCTAAAAGAAATTAATACATGGGTACAAAATAAAACTAAAAAGAAAATACTACAAATTTTAAAAAAATGTTGCAAATTAAAAGTGTGTCATAGCCCGTCCCGAAATTCAGTTATCGCGAATGTGAAATGACGGAATTGCCCTTAAAGGCTATTAAGGTACGTGTGACATGTCAATTGATTAATGCATACTCTCATAAATTCTTGGAAAATAAATTAAGTAGATTAAAATTGTATGCATTTTTGTGTGGTTAGGGACTTAAAGGATTTTGGATTTTGGTTTGATTTGGTTGGACCACACACGGGACATGTACACTCTCTCCCACACCGTGCTCTCTCTCTCCTCCTCTCAGTTCACTCTTCTTCTCTCTCTCGAACCCGTACGGACAAGAACCAAAAACCCTCAAATATTCACGGATTGACGCCAATAAGGTGAGTTCCTTCACCCTTGCAACCTCCTGAATCGATTGGTACTATTTTTAGAACTGGAAACCCTCGAAATCACGTTGAAACTGTAACCCAGTTTGATGTCACTGTTCATGCACACGTGAAATGTTGGTTTTCATGGAATTCTAAGCCTACAGGGAGCTTAGTGAGGTCCTAAGGAAGCTCGGAGTATTTAGTTTGAAGGTTTTGGACGTTGGGATCGCAGGGTTCGAAGTTGGCCGGTTTTCTTGGATTTTCTCCGGTGATATTTCGTGTGTTTTTTTAGCCTTAAAGTAGTACGTCGTGATTCTACATGCTTAGGGCTTCATTTTGGTATAAAATGCATAAAAAATGGTGGAGAATCGACGGAGAATAAGGAGTTTGAAAAATCTC